TTTTTTTAAATAGAAAAGTGAGCCCAGATGGGACAGCTGAGATGTAAAATACATTATGCTTCCTTTTGTACCCTATCTTAATTTGTGTGTTTACCTGAGTATAGAATTCTAGGTTCACAGGGTATTTTAAAATATTTTTTTAACTAAAGCAATTTGAAACTTCTTTTTAAATTATTATGCAGAAGAGAAGTCTAATTGTTATCTCTTTTGGGGAAATATTTTTTCTCTCATAGTTTTTCAGAAATATATCTTGATGTTTCTCAATTATAATATTTTGTGCTTTTGTGTGGATTACTTTCATTTATTTTACTCAGTACTGGGAATGAACGTTCAACCTGAAAATTCATGTTTTTCTTCAATTGCAAAAAATTTACCACATTTAAAAAATATATTGTTTCCCCCCAAAATATGTTTTTTTCTTCATTTTGAACTTCTTTGAGTATATGTTGGAGTTTTTATCTACCCTAAATATCTCTGAATTTCTTTCTGTACAACCTGTGTTTATATGTGTGTGTGCATGCACACATGCATGTACACATAATTCCTCAGTATAAGCCTTAACTTATTCCCTATACTACATTCTGGGGGGATTCTTTCCTGGCTGAGTCCAGTCTAGAAATTGTCTAGTCACTAAGTGTTTTTATGACTGTAGTATATATTTCATTTCTAACATATTTGCTTTATTTTTTCTATAGCTACAAATTTATTCCTGCATATGCTTATTTATTAATATCTTTTGTTCTTTGTTAATATATATTAACCATTAATATATATGGCTACTGTGGTAGATGAATCAAAACCCTTCCCCCACTCCAACACCCAAAGATGCACATGCACATACCATAGTACCTGGAACCTGTAAATATGTCACCCTGAATAGTAAAGGAACTTTGCATATGTGATTAGGTTAAGAACCTTGATATAGAAAGATTAATCTGGATTATTTTGGTAGGTCCAATGTATTTTGAATTTTTTATAACAGGTAAGTGGGAAAATGAGAGATAAAAAGTGAATTTGATAAAGAGGGGAAACAGGTTGTAGTGATGCATTTTAAAGATCGAAGGAGGAACCACAAGCCAAGGAATTTGGGCAACCTCTAGAACTTGGAAAAGAAAAGAAAACAAAATATCCCCTAGAGCTTCCAGAAGGAAAGCAGCCCTGCTGACATCTAGATTTTAACCCAGAGAGACTCATGTTGGACTTCTAATAAATTTGTGTGGTTTTAAGCTACTAAGTTTGTTGTAATTTATGACAGCAGCAATGGAAAACTAATACTGATACTATGTTTGTATTTATTGTTTTATGAAGATACTTAACATATTTAGAATCTTTGTAGACTGTCTTATTTGTTCTATTATATTTATTTTATCACTTCTTCCCTCACTCTTACTCTTCCTTATTAAAGATGTGAATCTTACAGTTTTTTTCTGCCTCCATCCTGCCTGCCTGAGGTCTCTAGTCCAGAACAATTAGAGTAAAGCCAACCATTTCAGTGTGATTTTGGGATAGCTCAGGTCCTCTAGGACACCCAACAGGCAACTGAGCCCCATGCAGGCTATACAGCTCTGTCAGTTTCCTCCTTTCCTCGAGTAAACCTCACTACCCACGCCTTAGCCCCGGGCAATGATTAGCAACAGCATCTTTTTTTGAGCATCATTTCTCACACTGGGTATCTTAAGCAGTGAAACTGCTCCTGGTTTCTCACCCTGTATGTTGTCGTTATGCTCTCCGGTACCTCGGAGGAGACAAGAGTGCTATTGTTAATGCTTATTTTCAGACCCCGGGCCTGGTACCCCTGCGGCTTTACCTCTGTTCATCATTGCCCTTTCTTCCTGATTTCTGACTCATTGGCACGTTCATTTTGCTCTTAATCATTTATATCGTCTCCTTATATCTTATGTCTTATTGTAGTTGTTGTTTTTCTTTAGCTGGGGGTAGGAACTTAAAAAGTAGCATCACAAATATTTATGTGGCAGCCAGGCAAAAGAGTTTCCTCTCCCCATGCCAATGCAGATTAATGATAATGCTTCCTGGAGCAGTGTGCTGAGAAAAATCTCAAGCTTACATCTGTTCCTATTGGAAAAGTGTGATGTCCTTTGTTAATGATTCCTGCTGTGAGTGCTGAGGGATGGTGTCACCTTCATCCACATAAGATATCTGCCAAAATGCAGAGAGCACCCTGTTGCAACAGCTAGGGTCATTCAGCTTAATGCAACATACTCAATCCCGAATAAATTAATTTTCAGAGGGGAACTCATTATGAAGATACTAGGAATTCAGGATCAACAGAAACTAGATACGCATTCTTTGGATAGAATGTTAGACCCATGCAAAGGTCGATAGATTGCCTTCCCAGTATCTGTCTCTGGCAGTTTTGTGAAGAGTCACCTTGACACTAGTTACAGAAATGGTGCTGGTAAAAGTTATTGTATCATCTCCTAAAGGTAACACTTTCACACATGGTCATAGATTCAATGGAGATGATGCCATTTAAAGTACCTCAAAGCTATGCAGAGGTCCAGGATCAACATTTTCATGTCTTTTACAGCATTCCAAGTGGATCTAAAGAGGATGCTCTAAATACTGAAAATTTCCTTTTAGTCTTGTTAAATAAATAACAGCAAGATGTGGAAATTTGGCAGAGCCCAGAAACGTAAGTAGGTCTATAAATAAAGGATATCTTTTGTGGTCTGGCAGTTTTAATATACTTTACACATTTGGTATATATATTTCTATAGGTCTTTAGAGATGAATTCATTTTTAATGTGCATGAATCTATATGTAGATATGTCTAAATATCTATATTTATATATATAGTTCAAGTTAACATGTGTATCCATAGAGAAACTAAAATAATTTAGGTGATATTAAAATTACAGACTGTTCATTCTTATTTCAAGAATATAATACTTTTATCTACAAGGAATAATGTGAACACTGATTTCAAAGAAGAAAAGAAAAATTTAAATGATCCCCTAACTGAAATGAGCATTGATTTAAAAACTTAACTTGGGTTGAACATTTGCTTAACAAAAGTTTAATTAGTATAATATTTCCACTATGAAAAATGATTTAAAGATAATTAAAATATATAGCAAAATGCCAATATTCTTTTAATAATTCATAGCATGGCAATGGGAAAATTATAATTATAGTAATAAGTAAAGACTTTTAGAAGGCCAGTCAATTCTCTTATTAGCAAGCTTTCCCTGCTTGCCAAGAACCCTAAAAATGAAAATTACTTGCTTACACCTTAGACTTGACTAATATGTAAGTGATAGCATATGACAAGCCTGCGTGCAAATGTTTCAATTAGTTAAGAAATATCATCTCTCTTCCCTTTTTCACTCTCATATATATTTTTTACTATGCACTGGGTCATATTAATGAGGCACTGATTTAATCTCTAAAATGAAGTAGTATGATTTTCTATTAGTTCATTTCTTTCCATATTACAAATCTAATCTCAAGTTTGTCATTTACTCTTAGACAATATAAATTCTATCCACAAAGAAAGCAACCTTGGCTCTCCCTTCTTTCACACACATGCACAGAATTTATTTATCACTTTTGCTCTTCAAGGCCAGAAGCACGGAAAAATCCTAATTAAAATACAAGGTTTAAATCTGTTCTCTTCAAGGATTACTGAAGCAAAGAAAGGGAATGGAATGTGGATTTAAAATAATTATCTGGGTCCCGACAAAGACTCCCTGAGAGTTTCACACTGTTAACTTTTCTTTTCTCTGACATCAGGCACCTTGGGAGGGAAAGTGCTGCCGTGAAACACCGATGAATATGGACATCATGCAAGCTAGTTTCATGCGTACAAAGCTGTACTAGTTTTATGCACACATGTGCATGTGAGCAGAATTTCAAATAAAACATCTAAGCAATCATGCATGCAGAAAAGAGCTTTTTCACCTACTGGCTTCATGGAAATAAGAGTATTTTGCTCACATACAAGCGCATGTCCTTTGAGTAGAAGTTGGGTTTCTACCATTGAGAACATCAGCCAAGAAAACAGATATATTTTCAAGAGCTTCAGATCAGAGTCAAGCTCAGTATAATAACATCTTCATAATGTTGAATCATCGAACAATCGCTGATGAAAGATTCTCTCTCCTCCCTTCCCTCCCCCCCTTTCCTCCCTCCCTTCTTCCCTTCCTTCCTCTCTTCCTTCCTTTCTTCCTTCCTTTTCTTTCTCTTTTTTTCTCTTTCCTTCCTCTCTCTCCCTCTCCTCCCTTCCCTTTCCCCTCCCTACCCCTGTCCCTCCTGCCTCCTTCACTTTACCTTCCTTACTCTTTCCTTTCTTGCCTTGTTACCTTCTCTTTTTCTTTTCTTCTAGTCAATGAGATTGCTTGTAGTAGTCCCTTCAAGGTAGTCCCACTGTTAAAAGAAAAAAAAAAAAATCACACCGATGCATCTCCGTGGCCTGATCTTAGTGTCTGTGCTCATCCACTTAAGTGCTTTATGCTAACCCATGCTCAGCCTCATTTAGTCAAAAAAGACACAATCCTGATAAAGAATGGAATTACATTGATACCATTCATTAGCATTATCTACATTTCTTTGGTTTTCAGTAAACACTTTAAAATAAAACCAATCGCTTCCATTATGTTTTAAAACTCTATTTCCATCACAGAAATGTGATTTCAACTGAGAAAAAAAACATAAAAAAGAGTCAACTTTTCTAAAGTTATAGTTGCACATGGCCAATCACTAGATGAAAAAAAAAAAACACCACACATTTAATTATGTACAGCATACAGGAGAATGATATCAAGAAAATGACATCAAGAAATAAGCTTGTGCACCTTTCAGAGTTTTCATCACAATGTCTAGCTTCATAGAAATCTAGCCCTAGACTTGGCATCACCACCCAGCTATTCACCAGGGCCAGTTTTGCTCTTCCTCATCATAAGGATTAGAGAAATATTTTATATACTTGAATCATTTCTACCTTTGAATTGCTTCCAGATATTTTTATAAGGTTGAATTCATATTTATTATCCATTACACATAACCCTAAAACCAAGGGTTATTTTTCTACAAAAGAAATGTTGAAACTGTGCTCATTCATTTTCACAGTCATAATTGAATGAAAAAGAATGTTTTCTATCAGAACAGAAAACGGCAGACTTTGAATTCTGCTTGGCAATAGCTTTGGGAAACATCAGAGCTAAGAGTGAAATTTAGAACTTAGAGGTTAAATGACAAAGCCAAGAGCATGAAGACAGGAAGGGTCACTGCAGTAGACCCAATCTCCTTGCTGCCTCTCTCAAGATATAACTACGGAAAGGATAACATCAGAGACAACACGGGCTTTAAAGTGCATCATGGTGAATTAATTTTAGATTTTTTTCTGCAGTTATAGCTATCTGTTTTGTTAAAGTGTTGTTAAAGCCATGCAGAAATGGTCAAAAGCTATTTTTAATCGAAACAAACAACAAAATGGAAAACAAGGAAAAAAACATCCGTTTCAATGACGTCATATTAATATAGCAAATGCTCTGAATGGCAACCAGAATTTTGTGATATTCTTGCAGGTGCTGCCTGTCGTTGGACACACGTTTGGTTCTTTTACTTTCACGCTGCTGCCAGCAGGTCTTCTTGTATTTGTCCAAGACAATGTCTTCTCTACTACCTGTCAAACACGGCATTAAGTAGCTCGTCAGAGCAGGAGCAAGTAAATGAAGTTTTGGCATTTAATCAGCCAAAATAAAAGAGCTTTACATCTATCAATAAATTTTTATAAAGCAAGAAAGGCAATCTGAAAATGTCACCGTGCGCAGTAATGAAAAACTCCCATCCGAGGCACAGGGAAGCGAACACGTTTGCCATCCTGGAACTCACTTTCTTTTCCACGGAAGACAAGGGTCCACCAGGGTTTGGTGAATTGTCCTAAGGCACATAATTAGGACCATGATTTGTGGAGAAGAGTAACCAGTGTGGATTGAATTAAATGCTAAAGTGCCTTTCCATTTGGAAAAAATCTTAGATGTTATAGCAATTCTTATAGAGAGCATGAAACATCTCATCTTAAATAAAGCACCCCATGGGATGTTGTAATAGCTATATTTATGGAGAAACTATTCACTCTTGAAAAACATGAGTAAGAACTTGGGAGAGAAATGACAACGAATATCTAACTGTGTCTCAGCAAAAAGCATCATCATAATGCAGGGCACCTATGTGGGGCATGGGACAGCAGCCAGGCAGAATCAGCTTTAGGACCACAAGGGAGCTCTCAGCCCATCTCATAAAAGGAGGGAGAGCAAGTGCACCAGGCATAACCTAAAAATAAGAAAGGCATAGCAGACACAGCATGCAAAAATGTATCTGGGGCAAGAATGCACTACCAGCTAGTTCTTACTAGCTGAGGGAAGTATAGAATACCAAAGTTTAAGTAATTTTAAGGCTAATAACTACAATATCATTTTGGTATCAAATCTACTTGGAGTCATTGTTTGCAAGCTGAATTCCAATAGAACAGTCATATTTTACAAAGCTTTGATTGTGCTTGTTTATGACTATTTATATTGTTTAGATAATTCAATCCATAACAAGAGTCCAGTGACCCAGGAAGATAACCGTACTTCTCCTGCTGGGGCACAGCTGGGCATTTGTTGTCATTCCTTTCCCAAGTTCTTGCAGCCCCCACATTTACCAAGAGTAAATATTTCCTCCATAAACATAGCTATCATGATGTCCCCTGAGGTGCCTTATTTAGGGTGAAATGTTTAATGCTCTCACACAAGAATTGCTATATAACATCTGAATTTTTCCTAAATGGAAAGCCACTTTAGTCTTCAATTCAATTCAGCCTGGTTACTCTTTTTCAAATAGCATTTAAAATGCTATTTCACAACCCCCCCCCC